CCAGTGAAGTTACTGCCCTTTCTCCTTCCACTTTCCTATTCTCGATCCTCTGCCCTGTCCCCTCGACCAACTGCTCAACCTTCCTATCCTCGACCCACCGCCCTATCTGCCTCAACCGTCCTATCCTCGACCCACTGCCTTATTTCCCATACCCTTCGACCTATTTATCATCGTCTCATTGCCATATCTCCCTCAACGTTTCCTTCCTCTATCCACTGCACTAGTCTGCCCAATTTCCCACCCTCGACCCACTTCCGACCTCCATCAACTTACTATCTTCGACCTACGACACTATACAACTCAGCCCCTAATCAAACGGCGCTACAATCACGACTAGATCGTCGAAAAGAACTCCGTCATCTTGCAACCAACTTCCATGTGTTATACTGGTCGAGTATGCCAATGAGATGATTCAATCGTACGTCGACAAAACATGATTGACGGCATTTCCGTAAATGTAGGCTGGAATCTCAATTGGTAATCAATAACCATAATGAGTGGCTTAAAAATGTGCTACTAATTAAGCTACTGATGGCGTCGGGTTTGAGGTGACTGTTTTTAAAATTTTGAAAGGCCGTTCGATATCGACATACCTGAGTTCATTTTCCGAAACTCATTCAATGTCGCTTGTATCTCCGTTCAAGACAAAACGATGAGGAAATAATAAAATATTTGCACGCTTAGTCATTTTCAACGAATGCTCTGCCATATTCTGTTGTATATACAAATTTCTTTTACGTGACTGAGAAGGCTGAAAAGTCAAAAAACAGTCAAAAATATAAGTCGCTCAGTGAGTGGTAATCCCTTCCAAAACTATCCTTAGAGCCATGAAATGTTTTGTCGTAGCTAGCGTTGCCAACTGCCCTTTAATTCAGCGCATAGTCCAAAAATTAAGCTAATCTTATCTGCAACTTAATGAAGTTGCAAAGGACGCAGTTAGTACGTAATCTTTGACATCGCTTTTACTATAAAATGTTGAAGAAAACTACTTTATACGGGTCAGCATCATATTGTCACAAGACTCACGACATGGCCAATTATTAAGGGCATAAAACGGCCTGTTAGAATTTAGAAAAATTTTTTTCCCGGATCAGCATCATATTGTAACAAGACTCACGGCATGGCGAATTATTAAAGGCATAAAAGGACCTGTTAAAATTTAGAAAACTGTTATTCCCAACAAAAAATCATCAGTAGCCCAATTAGTAAAACATTTTTAAACTGCCAATTAGGGTTATTGTTTAATATTTGAGATTCCAGCCTACATATACGAATGCTGTCAATCATGTTTTGTCAACGTACGATTGAATCATCTCATTGGCATACACGACCAGTATAACCCATGGAAGTTGGTCGCAAGATAGTAAAGTTCAGTGTGGCGATCGGGTCGTGAATAAAGCGCCGTTAGGTCAGGTACCGAATAGTATAGCACCGTAGGTCAGAGATAGGTAAGTTGTGGCTGATAGTGCAGTGGGTCCAATGATAGGTAGGTTGAGATAGGACAGTAGGTCTCAAAAAAGAGATGTTGAGGGGTCGAGGATAGGAATGTTGAGGTAGCTAGGGCAGTGGGTTGAGGTGTCTTTAACGGAGTACTTTTGGCCCGCAAACGACAAAAGTGCCGACCTCTCTTTTAAACTTCAGAGCCAGTGAAGTTACTGCCCTATCTCACTCAACCTTCCTATCCTCGACACACTGTTCTATTTCCGACCTCCATCAACTTACTTATCTTCGACCTACGACGCTATAC